AGAACAAAAATTTCGAATTGTTTTTTTTTTTGTTGAACAGTGATGCTATTCCACCGTATGCAATGAAATGTGTATCATTTTGAAAAACTATCCAATTTGTGTTGTCATTCAAAGAGGAGGATATTTCGTTGGCGCCGTCAAAAGAACACATCGCTTAATCAAAAATCACAAAGCGCTGTGCGCGCAACTACGATGAATTTCTGTTCAAATATTTTCGTGTACACATTTATCCGCATCATGGGCAGATATAAAACGCCAAGACGCCAAAACATTTTTTCCACACCAGCTACAGCCGGCTAAAGTGAAAAATATCTCGAAATTTATTTAGACTTGGTGTAATTTTTGTAAATTTTCTATGAATTTTTTTCTTTCTTTCGGAGACGACGTCGTCGACAAAATTGAACGGAAAGAAAAATCTATTGCAATAAATATCCTTGGAATCGTTTCAGTGTGTGTATCATTTTTCCCAATGTTCACAGGAAATGGTACCACAGCCAAAAGGATTGATCTATATATTCGACGAAGAGAATGAAACTTGATCCAACGCTCAAAAAAAATGGAAGAACAGCAGAGCTGGAATATGGAATTCATGTAAAAATCCAGCCATAACGGCCAAAATTTATAACACCCTTGAAATTATGCTAAAAATCTGATATTTTCTCGTGTTATTCATCATTTGGATGGCTCTTTGTACCATTTGTTATCTCAAATTCAACGGAAAATTGAAACAATTTACTTGTCGCCCCAATTTTTTTCTCGAATGGCAAAGCACTTTTTTCCATCGTCAGATAAACAAATTTCATGGATTAGAATTACAAACAATGGAAAGATTTCGAACAACGAAATTCCATAACAATTTCCACTGTATAACACATGATTTGCGCATCACAATTCAAAGCAATTTTCATACGAGACGTTTGTTGTAATCAGAGTCAGGCTTTGTGCACAGCTCAGCAAATCCTGTTTTGATTACATCCTGTTAATCAAAACCCGCACACAGTCACCACTATCTCTTTGTGTGAATTCCAGCATGGTCATGGAAACAATTTTTCGCTCTCCCTTCATCCGTCAAATAAATCGTCAGGATTTTTGCCTAATTTGAACAAATTCCGGGCTATGTGCGGCATCATGTGTGCAACGGCGCTTGAGACAAATGAGAGAAAAAAAAAACAGAACACGAAATGAAAGATATTTTTGGTTGGAAATTCGATACAAAAACGAAAAAAGAAACTTCTAAGCGTGTCTTTTTTTTAGTGAACCGAAAAAATTGGCTCGGAAGACCAAAAGGAATATGCTCTGGAATGTACAGCGTTCGACGAAATCGACAATCGTTTTTTTTGTAGGTCATATCTAATTTGGGATCCAAATTTTGGATAAAACAAAAAAAAAACAAAGACCGAAAAAAAATGGACGAAACAACTTTTTTGTGGCGACGTTTGTCGCCGATTACAGAGCGCCGCGATCAAACTAATTAAATCGAGCAGAAAAAAAGTCTGTCATCTAAATCAAGAGAATCGATGGTGGAACAATTGCCGTTCAAAGTCGATGACAACCAAAATCATCTTTTTTTTATTCCGACAAAATTTGTGTGTTCGTCTTAAATGGGACCGCATTTTAAGCGCAAAAACAGTCAACGTCGAATCGACCGGTTAAATAAATTACCATAACAGCGATTTTTGTGGTCACAAAACTTGAACTGTGTGTGTGTGTGTGCGACTAGTTAATTTTCGATTCTGATTTAAACTGTTCGCCGGTTTGTTCTTTTTTTTCGACCAGGTACACACGAAAAAAGGTTTAAACCCACAAAATGTTCTCTGTGGCATTAAATTATTTGACTCCTGTAGGTATGTATGCCAAGCGACGACGAAAAAAAAACAATTTTGCCGATCCGTTTGTCTTTTCGATTAAAATCAAACCGAATATAAAATGAAATTTATATATTTTGGAAATTCCACGCAACAAGCGGGAGTGAGACAGAAAGAAAGCGCTTGATGTAGCACACGTGTGAATGCGTTGAAAGAGCCTGGGAGAAAGAGTGAGATAGAGATTAACGGTGGATAGGTGAACAATGGCAAGAATGAAAATAAAAGTAATGGAGCAAAATGCGATGAACGAAAATAAAAACCGACAGAAAAATCACAAGAACAACGAAGGCACACACACGCACACACATACATGGAGAACAAAGATCAAAGGCTTTTTTCCGTTTTGTTGATTAGCCCGATGAGTATGAGAAGAGAAAAAAAAACCTCGCACACACACACCGAATTTACAGAACATCGACGAACGAACCAATCGAGAGAAGGAAAAAAAAACATGTTCACAGGAGAGAAAAAAGACTTGTAATTTTAATCAGCCTCAATATCTACGAGCCGAAAAGTTTGTTTTTATCTCGTCTTCTGGTGTTTGAAATGGGAGCAGAATAAGGACCACAGCGGAAAGGACACATTTTTTATATTTTGAATTTATTTATTTTTATTTTCGGTTGTCGTACGCTTCAATGAAAACAGTGAACGCATATTAACAAACTGGGCCATTTGTCAAATGTTCAAACTTCTGTTTTCGTATTGGGTATTCTTTCCACTTCTCATTGTGTTTGTTTTTCTCATTAGCCGTTTTATTTGACAGGCACGCTGCTTTCGAACAACGAACCATTTTCTGGATGCAAAACCATAAATTCTGGCATGAAAGGCTAGAAAATTGATTTAACAGATTATCGCTGATAGCTGACATACTCCTTTTGTACGCACTCAAGAACTCACCTCCAACTTCAAGAGTTGTTTCCATTTTGATTTCCTCTCATTTCCTCCGACTGTAGTTTTGGTAGTCGTGTCGCTTCACGTTTCTTCTTTTCGTTTTTTTTTTCTCTTTTGTTTTAATGATAATAAATCGATTTGGGTGATTTTATAAATGAGTTTTGGGTGTTTAGGTTGAGGGCGGCACTTCAAGATCCTCAAATTTAATGACGAACCACCGACCGAAATGTATCTTATCGGCTTCTGTTTTCTCCTAATAAACCAAATACGACGATCTACAGCATTCGAAACTGAAGAACGGGAAAAAAAGTGTCGTGAAATTTTCTCATCGAAAATATTCTCATCGTTCATTAGAGCTATCTCTTATACTGCCGTCGACAAGAGATAAAAGTCGAGTGAATCTCACTAGAGAAATTAAGCGAAGCGCTTTCATCAAACGCGCGATGAAGACAAACAAAAAGAAATTGCCATGAGAACAAAAGAAAAATCGACCCTTCATCCGAGTGTCAGCCAGAGCATCAAACATCATATAAGAACGCTACCGGTTCAGCTACTGTCCGGCAATTGAAATTCGAATGATTGACAGAGTGGTGCGCATTAACAATGGCCCCTTTTTTTGAAAAGCCACGGTTTATTGTACCATGCTTATTAAGTTGTTGCAATGGAAATGTTTTGATTACTTTACTTCAATCCGTAATCAGTTTTGGCAAAAGGAAAAAAAAGAGTTGTTGTTTTTTTTCGTCGGTTTTCGTTTTTGTTTGTTGTCAACGTAAACAAGAGCAAATCCATTGCGCACACAATGCAATAAAAGGCATGAAGTTTTGTGCAGAAAAAAAGCCATAAATCGTTTCATTCGATGCAAATCATTTCGTTTCCTTTGCGGTAAGCAATTATACCGAGTCCTATTGTTTTTTTTTTTTGCCGATGCATAACAAAGACGCCAACAGAAAAAAACACATCGCTTTTGAAACGTATGAAATTTCAGCAGCCAAACAAGAAAGGAATGAAGAGAGAGAGTAAAAAATCAACTCTTCACTTTTGCATCTTTTGTATTATTCGCGCTGCAAAAATGGAATTCAATGAAAGGGCTCATGAAGCATTCTTCAGCATTTTTACTCCGTGCAATAAAACGTGAGCTCTTTTCATTGTTACCAAAATCCGTAAATTGTCCAAAAAAAACCACGCGCAAAATCGTCCACGGCATAAAAAAGAGTGATGAAAACGTAAATTTAATTGTAGAATACCTTTGTATGACATTAAATCCGGTTCGGCTATTATGCTTGATGCAGTTTTTCTCTCTCTTTGCGTTTTTCTCTTTCGCTCTTCATATCAAAATGACATTCGTTTCATTTTGTGCAGCATCGATGGAAAATATCGAGCAACATGAATGCGAATTATCATAAATTGAATGCTCGTGAATTATTCGATGAATTTACAGAATTTGAATGCGAAGCTTACGAAATCACATTATTAAGATCATAAAACAAGTAATTTGCCCAAATAAATTGATAAGAGAATTTAACGAGAAAAAAAGACACACACGACTTCGACAACATTGATAGCACGCAGCAACAGCAGCAGCAGAAAAAAAAGCATCATTGCCGTCATTCCGATTTAAATGATTATCTCTTGAAATTGCGATGGACATTGAGATTGGCTACATTCAAAGGTGTTAAATGGTAAAGCAAAAGAGCGAACGAGTGCGATTGAGAGATGCGAATGCAATTTAAAAATCATCTCAGCAGTGCCATCCATTGGCCCACTCTTGAAAACACAAAATTCAACACGCATCAACGCACGAACGAATTGAGAGAAATTCATACACAGGCGATGAGACCGTAGCATCATGAATTCACAGGAGAAATTGAGATGAGTATTGAGCGAAAAACTCAAGCGCTATCCATTTTACACTCGTTTCATCTCTCATTCTGCATTGCCCCATCTTGAACATCATATCACTGTGCTTAGCACAGAGCATTTGAGTGCTGACGAGATGAGCGAATATGCGTACCAAATGGAGAATCAAAGAAGAGATCGTAAAAACGACATGCGGTACCGACCGAAACCTATTGTTTTTTTGTTTTTTTTGTTCGTTCGTCTTTCGTTGCTTCACAATGTGCCGAAGAAGTAAACGTTCGTGTATGAGTTAACAACATATGTGTGTCTGCGACTCTGGATTTTGTGTGTTCGGTTTCACTCACTGCATTTTACCATTAAACATTCAGTATCATTCGAAACGTTGCGCCGATTAGATGCAGCTCCGAGCTTGCTCATTCCCATTCAACTGTTTTTGTGTACGCAAATATTCGATCGCACTTAACCAACAAATCGGTTTTTGTTTTTTGTTTGCACAATTTTTAACCGGGATGTTGTAAGAGAAATTGGTGAATCTTTTGATTTTTATCAACAACAAAAAACGACAAAAGAGAAGAAAATTGGCAGTTAACACTGTAAAAAAAATATTGTGTTGAATTTTTAGTTCAAATTTATATTTTTTGTTTAAAAAATTTGAATTTTTACCAAACGACAAAAAAAAACCAGAAAATTCATTGAAACGTGTTAATCGATTTGAGTTTAGTCGAAATGTTGAAATAGCAAAGAGAAAGTCTAAGACAAATAACAAAAATAAAACCGTAAAACCAATTTTGATAACGGAGCGTTGGTCGAAATTTGAGACGAAACAATTTGTGACTTTTTCTGTTCCGTTTAAATTTGGAAATTTGTTTTATTTTTGTGTGTGACCAAAAATAAAGAGAAGCATCAGTTTAGCCAAAATGGAATCAACAAATGCTGTGATGTTATTATTTTTGTGCATGGCATGTTTGGCTGGAATCAGTGCCAAAACCAACACAGCCGGCAACACTGACACCGACACCAATCGTTTAAATGGTGATTTTAACGAATTATCGTCCAACGAATTATCAACCGAAATCGATAACTGCCATGAAGCATGTTTACAAAAGGTAGGTTCCGCATCTTGCGGCATATATTTGCTCGTTGTATTGCTTAAACGGTCGCATAAAAGGTGTGCTTCTCAATTTAAAGATTAACAAAACACCACAATTTCAACATTAACAAACATTGAGCGAAGAAGAAAAACAACAAACACACGAGAACAATTTGAAGATTATCAAGAGTAAAAAAAAAACGAGAATTTGTTGTGTGCACTAGTTCTATTCATGTGGAATCCAAATTTTGGATCTAACGAGAGGAGAAAAAAAAATCTTCGTCTACGCTTAATTAAGGATTATTTCCTGTCTAATGATCGGATATTGTATCCATACGGTTTTTCGATTTTTTTTTCTCTCTCAACATTTGCTTCGGTGATTTTTTAGTTTTTTTTTTCGAATAGGAAAAAACCTTTTTTATTATAATCTCTCAAAAAAAGCTAAAACTGTTTGTACAAACTTTTTACCATATTGTTGTGCGTATAAAATGTAAAGTTTTTGATGTTTTTTCTCCTCTATCCGTCGGTCGTGTATTTTTGTTTCTGGTTACCTTTCGCCATATGCGATATATAAATCAGAGCGAAAAAAAATTCCGAGACACGTCAAACAAAAAAAACCATTACATGAGGCTAGATGAACAGTGAAGAAGGAGCAAAATGGTGTTGTGTACTCAGAGAGATGTCGAGAGAGCAATAGCAGAAGACAGGCCAAACAATACGGCTGAGCAATCTTTTCGATGCATGTACAGATTTATAAGTCAATTATTGTGCGCCTTTGGCGAAATTCAATTTCTGAATATGTTTTGTGTGTGTGTGTGTGTCTGCGTCTGTTTGGGCAAGAAGAGAGAAGCACAGTATTTTCGCTGCTCGCAAGCCAATGTGAATTAAAGTATTATAGACATCCAATCTTAATTTGCAAGCGGGCCGGTTCGGGCAGAGAACCGTCAATGTACACACGCAACACACGAACACAATGTTAAATCCGTTTTTAATGCATAATAATATTAATATTGAGTCGTATAATAAAAACATTGCCATGCAAACATCCGAAAGTGCTCGTTCCTTCTACTTTTTTTCGCTCGCTCTCTCTCTCTCTCACTCTCTCGCTCTCTCTTTCTCTCTGTTTATATATAAACAAACTGTTCTGACGCGAAAATGTTGTTCGAAGAAAACATGGAGATGAAATTTGTTTTTAAATGAAAGTTGAGGAAGGAGAAGAGAAAACAGTTCGTTTTTTTTTTGTTTCAAAAAATCCAACGACAATGCACAAGTGCAGGGCGAAGAGAGAAATATCCGTGATGGAAAAATGATTATTGAAAAACGCTTGTCCGAAAGAAAAAACACAACAACAACAACTTGATCATAGGTGAAGAACAAAAACGTACAAGAAAATGGAAAGCAAAAAACTCATGATTTGGGCGAACAACAAGACAAAAAAATACTGAAAGAAGAAGACGAAAAAAAGATCGACGGAAAGAAGTCGAAAACGAACGACCGTACCAAACTGAACCTGGGTATATGTATAAATTTCAAATGACAGTGTCCAGACAATCTCCGCAGAGCAAAATAATTAAATAATAATAAGCGAAATAATTGCACCGTAATTACGCCTGTATTATATAGCCGGTTGGAACGCATTGCAATGCATACGTTTTGGGGCGAATAAGGAGGTAGCAAACGTTTGCGAGAGAGCGAGAGAGGGAAAGAGAGAAAAAACGAAGGAGAAAAGCAACTGAAGACAAAAAGTATATTAAAGTGCATGTTTTTGATCTGTTACTTACGCACACAAAATGCACGAAAAAGACAACGAGCGATGAGGGATTGAAAGCCATCAAATCATTGCATCGAAAACGCAGAACGCAGCAGAGAAAAAAAATTACTTTAAATAAAAACATAAAATGAGCATTTTTCATGTAAAACATTGATTATAATCATGCTAAAAGTTGCTTCATTTACCATCGCTTGTGTTGTAGTGGTGAGTCCGGTGTGTTCTTTCCAGTCAATCATTGGTTGTTGTTGTTTTTAGTGCCACTTTAAAGTTTGGACTTTGTTTTATTCCCGTTTATTTCGTTCGCTTTAAGTTCCGTTTTGTTAGACGATTGCACGAACCGCGCTATTGTACAATGTTTTATTTTCGTTGCGAGAACGAGAGCGCGATCGTCTTAACCATTGTTTATTCATTCAAAATGTTTACATAAATTCATTTACACACAGTCCATACACTTAATTTACTTGCCATCCGTATACATATACGCTTTATTTTCCTGTCTTTGTTCTTTTCGCCAATGCAGAACACACACCATTCTTCATTCATTTCAGCCTCATGCATATTCATGCGTACATAGTATAACGCACACACAAAATCCAACGCCGTATCGTCAGGCAGCGTGTATCGGCACTAGATTTTCGATTATCGCCATCGTTTAAGCGACAAAAACAACAAAGCCTAATTTAAGTTAGAACAAAAGACCGTGCATTTTTTTTCGCCCGTTAAATAAATAAATAAACGTCCATATGTTCATTTTGTCGAAATGGAAAGAAAAAAACAACAAGCGAAACAAAGGGAATTAGATGGAGTATGTAAATGGAATCGAGTGATACCATCATCAAACGTGTGCTAACCAAATTCAAATGTAGCATTGTTGTTGGTATCACACCGACCGCTCGAAACAAACGAACGAACGAACGAATGAACGAATGAATATGCCAAGTTTGTCACCCGAAAAAACGCAGCTACATAAATTATTCAATGCATATTCCCTAAAATGCAATGCATTGTTATCGCAGCCAGTAAAATGTTTTATTGTTCCCAAAATGGGAACGATAAGCCATAAAAGTCGCAATGTTAGCATCTTCCAAGACTCCGATCGATTACACACACACACACAAAACATTTGCTAATTTAGTTTCTTCGCTTTTTTTTCTGTTAGTTCAATTTATAAACATGTGTTAACATTCGCTTCGAAACACACAAATGAATTGTTTATATATTAAACGATCTGCTGTTGTTGTTAGCAATCTTGCACAAATAAATTCGTTTCATTTCGAAAAGAATCGACAGTTTAACAAGCCTAAAACTGAAGAGTTCATTTTCAACTTTGAAAACGGTTCATTATTTTATTATGCAATGCAACGTTGTCGCGGCAACAATAGAACAGTTTATCCGTGACAGAATGCTCGGCGCGCGTTCACGTCGATCATCATCACACAGAGACATACACACAGCTAAGCGAACTGAGTGTGAGAGAGCTCTGGTCGGAAATTGAGATCGTGAACCAAACGGTGTGGTGTCTGTGTGATGCATTGTTTGTGGTGCTTATTTGGTAAATTGCATAAGGTGCGTTGCATGCCACTGCCGTGATCCTATTCAAACGAAACACGAAAAAATCACTCATGCATTAATCGCTATGCCGCTTCAAATGATACAAAACGCTTGTTCAACATTGTTGCTCGCGCGCGTGTGTGTGTGTGTATGCTCTAAGTGTGGTTGCGGGCGGTACATTTTGGAACTTTTGTTCCTCTTGCCAGTATTTGTTTACAGATCTAATGAGCTAGAGTTAGGTAGTGTTCGAATGAAAAATGCGTCGATCAACTACGGAAACAGTTATTGTTTGTTTGTTTCGAGTGGAAAAAAAAGAAGAAGAAAATTTGTTGTGCACCATTTCGTTCGATGCTCACTTTGTGCTCGGCTGACATACGAGAATGAAATAAAACGCAACCACATTCCACTAGTTAAATTGACTGTGTAAATGATTAATCGAAAAATGTGCTCTCCGTGTGTAAAACATATCTCAATGTATTTCACCTTTGATATTGACGCTCAACATCACACCATGTTACAACAACATGGTCGCGTTTGTTGTGTTGTGTGTTGTTTTTTCGGGATGCTGTGTATGTGCGGGCATATCATTTGTATGATATATGTGTAATAAAATTAAATTCCTGCTGTTTTTCGGTGCGCTTTTCCAGTGTCAAGCATTCGCTTTTTCTGACAAAAAATATCAAATTATCACAGGGCTGCCGTTGAGTGTTTTCTTTCGCTCTCTACCTCTCTCTCTCTCGCTTGGGCCCAATGTAAAAATTTTGCGTTTGAATGACATAAACACACGTATATAGTTCAAACATGAATATCCAATGCTGTAACAGAAGCAAACCGCGCCAGCGATTACATCGGTGGCGTCTACATGTCAGCTAGAGGTGTTTTTCGCTGTAATCGGTCTCGTGCATAAACGACAAATTTAAACTAATGAAAGGTAATTAGGCATAGATTTCCTAGTCGGTTGCTCTGCATGTGGTGCAATGCAACAAGCATATACGTACACCAGAGATGCAAACGATGCGCAAAATTCGCTATACTTTTCCATTTTTCCGCCGCAACTCGGTTGGTTTTTTTTCTGCGGAGCGCGCGAGCGTGCATCCAGGCCAAAATTGAAACCGTCAAAATCCATTAGATAGAAGCAGCGATATAGACAGTGCCAGCCAGCAAAGCAAGCCACAACACAAATGCGCTCACACAGAAAATGTGTATGTATCAAGTTGGTTTTACCAACCGAGTTCTGCATACGTACACAGAGAGAAGAAAAGCCACATTCTTTGTGGATTTGTGAATGTCGAGTCGGGCTCTTTTTTCTTCCACTCTCTCTCGGTATTCTTCTATCCCTTGAGAAAATATTTATGTGAACATGCGACATTAAATTTATCTATTGCTTCCGACATCAGACACATCCACACATTTACGCACTGCTTTATGCAACGAACGCGCGACATTCATGAATGAGGGATTGCGCTTGAAAAAAAAACAAAAGCAATGACGCAAATGAAGAGAGAGAGAGAGAGAGAGCGAACGAGTATGCTCACATGAATTTCAGGAAGTTTTCCGCTGCGTTCGTTTAGTAAAGATCCCCAAGAATGAAAATAACGGTCTTCGTCTTATTGTGTCGTACACATTTTTTTCGCTCACTCTCTCTCCCTCTCTAGTTCAGTTGCTGTTTTGTTTTTGTTGTTGTTGTTATTGCT